GAGCCATCACACTGGGGGGACCCTCACAGGATTACCCACTCAGCCCAATAAGAACCTCCATATAACTTTGCCCTCCATCAAGAGTTAACAAAGGTTTAAAGCATGGACACGATGCTGGACTAGAAAATTACTTTTCCTGTTTATCCTTCTCAGCAAGAACGTAGTTCAGTGTGGTTCTGTTACGTTGGAGCTTGCTGCAGTCACACTGACATCTTCCAAATGTCTCAATGATTCACATTGTCACTGCTCACACCGAGGGACAGAGTGGTTTAAGGTCTGTCTGTCTCCCAGATCAATAGCACTGCTCGTGTGTTATCACAGCTAAGCAAAGCACCATTTGAGACTGTCAGCTCACAGTATTCACTCCCTACCCCTTCTGTGCCCGTACAATATAGGGAGATCCATCTTAGACCCTTCCCAAAACAATCTTCAACTATGCTGATTTTTGAACTTGTGAAAAACCTTTGCCTTCATCACAAAAAAGCAAAATAAACCCCGACTTTGTATCACTGCTCAAGGTACCAAGAGCTAATTGTGCCTTTCACTTGAACCTGCTAAAACATTGTGGGATCAGATTTTTCAGACGCCCTGCTGCTGGGAATCCTGTACCCTTGGGCTTGCCCACCACGTAGTGCCAATACCAGGAGTCAGAGCCCGTGGCCTTGTTTTGTGCTTCAGGGCAGAACTCTTGCCTAGAACTGTGGTTATTCTTTTGTTTGTGGGTACCTAAAGCCTGCTGAACAAGCCAGCAACTGTCTGAATTTTAGACCTATGACCTCTTGGTAATATTTGTCTTTTGTCCTGCAGCAGTGGGCTGGTTGTGATTCCTGTGTGACAGATGGACACGGCAGCTCTAGGCGAGCTCATCCAGGACTTGCGTGCACCCATACTTTGTATAATCCTTTTAGCCCTGAAAGCAGTTGTTATCACCACCAATTACACACATTCTCCAAGTTTCATGCTGCCCACATTAGCAGTAAATCATCCCACTGGGGGTAGCCCTGTGTGCCCAGTTCAGTTCCAGTTCATGCCACGATTCCTCTAAAATGTCAGGAATTCACAGGACCAAGAGATGTCACTCGACTGACTCATCAGTCAAACTGGGACACATTTCCTCAACTCCTCACCTAGAAGGGCCTTGCAAACTCCATGGAAACAAACTGGAGGCACAAAACAGCTCCCAGGGTGGTTTAGAGCATCCCTGATAATACAGAACAGTTGTGCAGTTTGTGTTCTCTGTGGTCGTGCTCTGTCTTAGCTCATTTTCACTCAAAGCCTTGGGCATAGTTCCACAGTTCAGAGTACTTTGAGTTTTCTTAATATCTTTATTAATACCAGTGGAAATGGTACATATATAGACAAGTCTATTTCATTTTAATAGTATCCTTTTAATGGCTTTATCATTAGCTAGTGTGTGTACTTTTTCCTGGGCTACAAATGTCCTGAGTCAGTGCTCATTAGGAATAAACAGGATTGTCAGATCTTCCTGCTCGTTTTCTTTAGAAAACTTTCTTTAATGCTTTTCTTTAATGCTTTTATTCTCCTGTCCGGCTAATTTGTTAAAAAGCAAAGCAAAACAAACAAAGCTTGTTTTGAAGTAGCTTAAAAGAGATATATTTTCATTCTTCCTGACATTTGTGAAGTGGCTCAGTGTACAATGAGATACTTTGTTTGCTGCAGCTTAATGACATTGTGTTCAGAATCTGGGTTATTTTTATGTTTTAAATTAACTTTCCATCTTTCAGCAATTTGGAAAGAAACCAAAAGATCTAAATGGGACTTTAGCTGGAAAGAAAGAAGGGGAGTGATTATGTGATTACACTAAAATAATTCTGTAAATTCAATAAGAGCAAACTGATTTTCTGTACCCCAAATACAGATCTTTCAGTAGATTTTAAACTTGATTTCTCCTGGGTGTTTTTCTTGGCCACTGAACTTTGGTTTGCATGTTGTCAGACCCCTCCTGAGGATTTCCACAGAGCCAGGGCAAGTCTGTGGGTGGGTGGCCAGGTAAAAAGGCTGGGCTAGAGCATTTCTGGGTGTCTTGGTATCCATCTTTCTCCCCAGTGGTCTGTGTGGGGAGCTCATCCAGGGGTTTCTCCAGCTCAGCTCCTGTGGCTTTTCCTGGTTTTGATACTGTTTCCATGTCTGATCTTCGTGTAAGAAAACCAGTTCTAAGCCTTTCTCCCTGGGGCTGCTTTGATTCAATCCCTGTATGGACCATCCAGTAAGAATTGGACTGGATGATCCTTGTGGGTCCCTTCCAGCTCAGAACATTCTGTGACATCAGTTCTTCATTCCTGTATTTGATGGAAGAAATTGTGCAAGGATGGGAAGTTTAGACTGTAAGATACTCCATCATCTGCCCGTGTCCTCCTCGATGGACTCCCTGGCCCTGGGGACACAGCCAAAGCTGCAGTGGGGTCTCTCCATCCCTCAGCCCCCCATGGGTGCCCACCATGGACAGCAGATGAACTCCTGGAGCCCTTCCACGCCCCTGGTGCCCGTGGGACTCTGTGGGCACGCTGGCAGCTGTGGTGGCTCTGTGCTGCCAACCCCCAAATCGATTAGATCTGCGGCTTCCTGTGGTTTGGCCCCTTCATCTGCAGTTACCAAGGACACAAACAATCAGCAATCACACTTTGAACTGCTTTCAGCAGCAGCAGGGAAATTTCGAGAACACTGTTTTGGTAGAAATAACCTTTCAGCCGTGCCTCAGCATGGACAGCCCCAAAATTGCACCAGGGGAGGTTTAAATTGGCTATTAGGAAAAAGTTTCTTCGCTGAAAGGGTTGGCACGCCCTGGGAAAGGCTGCTCAGGGAAGTGGTGGAATCACCATCCATGGAAATACTCAGAAAACGTGTGGATGTGGTGCTGGGGGCTGTGGGTCAAGGGTGGACCTGGCAGTGTCACACTGATGGTTGGACTTGATGATCTTGGAGGTCTTTGCCAACCTTGACGATTTGGTGATTTATGATGGGTATTTCTGCTGTGGGAACTGTGCTGTTCCCTGTGCTTTTAAACAGATTTATGCCTCTCCTGACTGCAGGGTTTGGGTGCTGGGGACACCCTGGGTGTCTTGCATTCAGAAGGAAGACTAAGGATCTTTAATGAAGCTGTAATCCTGCTCCTCGGGCCTGGGTGAGAAGTCCCCGAGGTCACCACGTGCTCAGTGTCAGTTGCACCCCAATCAAGGTTGTGCGGGGTGGAGGCTAATTACTGCTCATTAGCATCTCTAATTTATGCACAGCCCATCATCCCTGCACAGACAGGGTGTCTGAGAAATATTTATTTATAGTAGGAAGGGCCAAACTGTGAAGATTTTTTAAAACCTGTGTTAAAAAGCAAGGCAAAAAGTCCCATAGAGTGAGCCAGGCTGGCACTTCCACAGCACACTGTGTTGAGCAGGAAACTTAATTATAAGTAAATTAGGTTTCCCCTTTTCAGTTGTTAAACCAACAAGCAGCCACAAAGCCGACATATGTGAGCCACCCCCTCAAAATTCAGCGCTGTTCACAAATCTTGAACTGTACAAGCAAACAAATTACAGGGTGCAATAAGCTCCCAAAAGCTATTTTGAAGCTTTAGTGCTCTAGTTAAAAGCTATTTGGACAATATGGTTTGTTTCCATTCCTGTACAGCTGATTCTTGCTGTGTTTGTGGCCTCCTCCCTTCACACCACCCTGTTTATTTTGGTAAACACATTAGTAACCTTGGGACTAACAGGAAAGATTTGCCATTGATTTATGAATAGCCACTGTAAATATAATTAATGCAATTCCCATGTGAATGTTATGAACTTCCACAGCCCATACATATTTCTGGCTATGTGAGCAAAGGTTGATCTATGGCTGCTGGTGTAAGGGTTGTTCATTATAAAAGAATAAGTGCAAGTAACCATTTAAAAGATTTTTCTAACATGATAATGGTTTTCATGATGAGGCTTTGGCTAATGTTTTATTACAGCTTGAGGAAAAACTGGCTTTACCCTAAAAATGTAACTCTATATTATATGTATAATAAACCTGAAGTCGTGCTCAATGAGAGCAGGTCTAATTAGTAACACCAGGCACGTTAAAACATTGCTGCTCAAACATCAGCTTACTTGGAGCACTTACTCAGGACTTAGAGTATCTTAACTGAACTTACTGGTGCAATAAGTCTTCAGGACAACTCTGTCCTTGCCTTTTTGGGTAGAGAACACAAAGCCACAGAATGTGAGGATGGCTGTAGATAAATGAGGAGATGTGATGCCCAGTGTGAGCAGAGCCAGCACGAGAGGAGGCCTGAACTGCAGGAGGTTCTGGCAGAAGAATTTTGCCCAGTGTTCCCCTTTCCATGCTATTTTTGCTTAGTGGATCAACTGAGGATGAAAGCAGTGTGGCTGGGAACATGTCCTTGGAAGCTGCACAGAGCTGCTCTCCCATGACCATGGTCTGCACTGTCCTGTCCTGCTGCTGCTCTGCCTTTTGGCACCAGCATATTCTGAGCTCCTGCACCTGCACACGTGAATGGAGCTGGGATTTTCCTGCCAAGTGCACACAGAAAGGAGGACACAGGTTCTGGAAAAGCTCAGTATAATGGTGCTCACAGCAGGACTCATGTCAGCCATTCACAGAACAAAGTGCTGTCACCCCTGTAACACATGCAGAAGAGTAGAGTGCTTTAGAATATGGAAAATTGATCGTGTTGTGACTTACTCAGGAAAATGTTTCTCTAATTCCCCACTCTCTAGTCTAGGAAAGGGCTGTTGGGTTTGTTGTTTTTGTATTTTTTGGTTTTATGCTCAGGTATAATGGCATGCTAAGTATTCTGAAAAAAGGAGGATGGAAACGTAAAGTCATGGAGCACTTGATGTTTAAGGTGTTTTTGAATAGTTTACACTTTTAATTTAGTTTATACTTTAATACTAAGGACATAGTATTTTTGAATAGTTTATACTTGTAATTTAGTTTATGCTTTAATACTTTATAATTTTATTCTTTTGCTGTCATCTCAGGACTTCGTTGGAAACAGGAAGCAGCGTCTCAACTGACCCTCTCAGGTACTGTAGTAATAATAGAAGTCAGTTTTAGGTTTGAAGTAACAGAAATTACCTTCATCCTGTACCAGGTGTAGATCACAGAACTTTGTCTTGTGCCAACAAAGGCATTGGGTTTTTCTAAGAGTGGAGAACTTGCTCTTTTCCGGGATTTCCAACTTGAAATTCGGTTCTGCCTTCAAAGACTGTGTTTGCTCTCAGAGCAGCACGAAGGGGAGGGAGGGAAGGTGCAGATTTTTATAACCTTTCTGCTGAGCACCCCTGCCCTGTCCTGGCAGCTCTGCATGAACAGCCCTGACTGTGAGGTGTCGTGGCTGGTTTCTGCTGCTCAGCATTTTGATAAAAGCACACTGTAAACTTCAGAGAGCACTGTCACAGGAGTCACTGCAGCAACTGGGATTTCACTTTGATCGCTCAATTTAGAAAGAAATGCTTAGCCCTGTTAACACTGCATATCAGATGGGTTCTTGCATCTTTTATTCTCCTCCTTGCACGTTGAGCAGTGCATCAAAGGCACAGACTGCCTTTGATTCAGCTGGGGCAGAGTCCTTCCCTCTCAAATTGACAGTTGTTTTGGTACCAGTCTTCCTCTGGAGATGTTACGGGTTGAGGATGTGACTTTTTCCCACATTATGTCATTTTAACCTTGCTTGATCAAAACAGTGGGAACTGCTCTGTTTAACCTCATTCAAATTAAAGGCCGCCCATAATTCATCTTCCATTCTTTTCCAGTGTAAAATCTTCTGAAAGTAAAGCATATGCCCTATTACCATTTCCTAAGCACCCACCCCCTATGTGGGGATATTCTCTTTGTCCTCAGCACAGCCAACACTGCCCAACATTCTGTGTTTTGGGCAGTATTTTTGTTCCCATCTCCCAGTGTGACCAGAACACTGTGGCTTTGTCTGGGAGGACAATGCAGGGAACAATCCCAACCTCCCCCTGCCCTGCTTTTGTGCAAAATTATTTTAGGAAAAGCATCGTGTATCTGGTGTGCGATGTACCAGGTATTGCTGCCACCTTTATTCCAGGCTGGCTGAATCTGTGTGGAAAAAGATTTCCTCACAATGGTTTTTCTGCCAGTGGATTTTTTTTTTTCCCCATGGGAGAATATTAGAGAGGAAGATGGGGAAGAATTTTGACATTTGCTGGGAAAAGGAGAAGGGAATATTCTTTGAATAGTTTAGGTTGCCCTGAGTGTAAAAATAGGTTTCAAAGTCTTTAACTAAAAATTAAATGATTTTCTGAAGTTTAAGAAGTCCAGAGTAAAACAGTCATAAAGGAGACATAAAGAAATTTTCATATTATATCAGCTAAACTTATGGGTTTTTCTTAGTGTTAAATAGTTATTGAGGAAAATATGACATGTAGTCAAATTCAGTAGGTCAAATAAGCCTGTTCTGGAGCTGTAATTGTATGGAGTTCAGGCTATTATTTTGAAGTAAAATGAGAGATAACAGAATTCTTCCTGCTAGTGAATGTTCTCATGAACCTGTTGAGCAAATTGGCCTTTGAATGATCCATAAAATGGGATGCACCAATTAATATGGACCCACCCAGTGTCCTGTCGAGCCATTAGTATTTCCTAGTCAGGCTACTCTTCATTTTGCTCACAAAGTTCCTGTCCCCATCAACAAGGTAAGTTTGCCCTCAAAGAACCACTCTCCAAGTTCTCAGTGCTGGAAAGAGTGAGGGTTAATGTGAAAAATTTGCTTATGTCCATTGTAAAGAGGAAAGTATGTAAAAATTGGCATATTTTACAGATGTGTATTTTGGTTGGCATGATTTCTTCCATAGCCTGTGCAGTATTTACTCTGAGTATTTTGAGTTGGCCTCTGTCAGCTTTCAGCTGGCATCTGAAAATATTTTGTTTCCTAATATCTAAATCTTGATGTTGGCCTTCTGGAGTGCTGGATTAGCAGACCTGTTTCAAATTATGTGGATATTTAAATGTTTGAGCTTTGCAGATATTTGTGGCGGGTTTGTCATCTACTGTGACAAGTTGATCAACCAGTGGTTAAGTTCAGAGAACAGATGTGCAGAAAGGAAAATCAGCATTAAGAGAACAGCAAACTTCTTGCTATTCTACTCCATGGATACTTTGGCACCTTAGGGGCTTAATAACCAAAAATAAAGGAGTATCAAATGATGATTAATATTATCTGTGGGGAAGTGCATAAATCTGAGAGATGTTTGAAGCCAAATAACTTTGTTTTGAGTTACTGGAGTGTTTCTAGGCAGCAGAGCTTCCCTTCAAGTAAACACTGGAGATGAGAGGGCTTGGTTTGTTGTCCCTGACTGTCTGGGTGTCACCACCACCCCTGGGTGTCCCCGTGGGGCAGCAGAGCCTGAGCTGAGCTCGGTATGAACACGGCTCTTCCCTGTTCCCGATGGGGAAGGGATGTTTGCTGGGGGGGTACCCAGGAATGCCTGAGAGGCACAGGAGGGGAGAGCAGTTTGCCAGAGCCTTTTGCATCACAGTTTGCCTCGTTCTCTGAGCAACTGAAGATGCTGGAAAGCAGTGCTGGGAAAGGGCCCTGGGGGTGCTGGTGGGTGCCAGCTGGCCCTGAGTCAGCAGTGCCCTGGCAGCCAGGAGGGACATCCCTGTCCTGGGGGCAGCAGGGAGGGGATTGTCCCACTCTGCTCTGCCCTGGGGCCTCACCTCAACATTGGGGCAGTTTGGGGGGACACAATGGAAGGGAGAGATTGAGCCATTGGAGAGTGTCCAAAGGAGGGAAGGAAGATGGGGAAGGGCCTGGATTTGGAGCCGTGTGAGGACACTGAGGGCACTTGGTGTGTTCAGCTGGAGCAGAGGAGACTGAGGGGAGACCTCCCTGCAGTTCCAACTGCCTGGGCAGGGGCAGAGGAGGGGCAGGACTGAGCTCTGCTCTGGGGGCACCAGGGACAGCCCCAGGGAATGGCTGGAGCTGTGTCAGGGCAGGCTCAGGGTGGATCTCAGGGAAAGGTTCTTCCCCCAGAGGGTGGTTGGCACTGAACAGGCTCCCCAGGGCAGTGGGCACAGCCCCAAGGCTGCCAGAGCTGCAGGAGGGTTTGGATGATCCTCTGGGGCACAGGGGTGACTCTTGGGGATGGGACTGAGCAGGGCCAGGAGATGGACTGGATGATCCTTGGGGGTCCCTTCCAGCTCAGCATGTTCTGGGATTCTGTAATTTTCCCACCAACTTTCATGTGGAGATCAGTTGGTTTCCAGGATCAGGACAGGGAGCAGTGTCTGGGAGCTTTGGGTGCTGTTCCATCCTGTGAGCACTGAGGCTTTTAACCCTCCCAGGAACTTAATTTAGCATCAAACCCTTGTTTTGTGCACCTGAGCTGTAATCCTTGTGCCATCTCCACTTCCAAATGTGGTGTGCACAGGGTAGCATGGAATGAGTGCAGCCACCACACTGTCCTGGTCCCACGAAATTCCAGAGCTCCACAATGCAGGAATGGCTACCATGAAGGTTTTGTGTGTAGCCATTGAAATATTTCACCCTGAAGCCGTGAAAGACACATGGAAAACAGTTTTCTTTCTGCAAAGTTACAGTCCCTGTGTCCCACCTAAGTAGGTGGATACACTGTTTTTCTGGGCAAGTGAAATATTTTCAGGAATGTTCCTGGCATGTTACTGTGTGGGTTTAAGTAAGTAAGTAAATAACAGTACTTCAATATATGTATTCAAGATATGCACTTTTAATATATATTTTAAATATGTATTCTATATTTTATATATTTTAAAATTTATAGTGTATTCTTATGTCATTACTATTTTATTTATATATTTATAAATATTTTAATTTATGTATGTTTTATATAATAATATGTTTAATTATATATTAATTGATGTGTTTATTTTTACTTATAATTATGCATATAATAGGTATAAATAAAATATTTAGTATAAGTATTTCAATATATGTGAAAGTTAAAGATTTATGTAGGTAGACAAGCCAATTGACCTGCTGTCCCCAACTTTTGAAATCAGTCCACCACCAACTCCAGCACTGGCTTCCTGCTGGGGTTATTTTATACAAAGTTCTCCCTCCTCAGTGGATTGTTTTCCTTCAGCCTCAGAGCTTCAGGGGTTGGCAAGAAAACCAGCCCTAAAAAAGGAGGTGGTGGACTGGACTATTTCCACTTTGCCCCTTTTTTTTAGTGGCTGGTTTTGAAAGCCTTGTCAGAGGCTTCCCATGCTATGCCAGAGCTGAACTCTGACTATAGAAATTCTCAGCAAAGCCCTCACGGCTCCAGTGCTGAAGCTGCAGCACATCCAAAAATCCCTGCTCCTGTCAGGCCTGGGAATTCTTGAGTCAAAGGTTTCGGAAAATGCCCTTCTGAAAGAACTAGTTCTATGTCCTGGGCGAGCGTGAGATGAAGCTTAATTTTCTCTGTTGTTTTCCTCTGGAAGACAAGGGAAATGAGGAACGTGTGGAGAGTGTGGGGCTTTTCATTTGCAAAAGTCCTAATTAGCATTTTCTCGGCATGCAGGGTGGGATAATCGGGGTTGGATGCTGTCAGGAAATCCGTGGGTACACGGCTTCTGGGCACTGAGAGCCGGGTGTTTAGAAAGAAATAATTAAGGTGATAAATAGTATTTTGTTTTTTCTGCAAAGGATATGATGGTGAGAAAGAAACTGCTTTGTAATGCGAGCAGACAAAGGATAAGTTTTCTGAGAAGTCTCGTTGCAGGATCAAGTGTCTCTTGAGCTTAGTTGTCTCAGGCTGACTTTCCCCTTCTTCCTTGATGCTGGGGATAGCTGTCCTTGGTTATAACCTTTTTTTCTTTCTTTTTTTTTTTTTCCCTGCCTTTTTTTAAAGGAATATCAAGATATTCAGACATAAGAATGTTCTGATAGGGAAAACTCTTTTTTTTTTTGGTGTAGTTTGTTCTTGGAAACAAAGGAAAAAGGATTTCATCTTGGCACCCCACAAATGGCCAATTGTAGGGCAGAGGTAGTGTCAGGAGGTTTGGGCTCACCAGGAGTCACTGGGTCTTGAGGGCCTTT